TGTGTGAATGGGCTTAGAAAATTCTCTCTGTGTAAACTTGAAAGAGGAGTCGATGGATGCTACTTACAGTCTTGATCAAAACTGGGAAGTAGTTGAGAAATGATTAATTGTTCTGATTTTATGTCTTCGGGTGGGCTGTGGGACCTAAAAGGCAAGTATATCTGACCTTGCATCATCACAGTTTCATCTACAGTGGAAATAATGTGTAATTTGCAGGAGGTTTTGATGAATAAATAAGTTTGAGACTAGGGTGGAAGACTTCAGTGTCAGGGAGGAGGCTGGGAGATTGATTTGATGTCAAATTGAAGGATATCTGCACATGTAGTGAAACAGGAAATGAGCTCCAAGGTCACTGTATCAATGTAGTAGTACAGAAAGTATAAGCTGTCTTCCATCTTTATGAAATTTATGCATACATACATTCCCTCGCCAAGGAAGTATTGAAAGTTGGAAGATACTTCCTCCCTCCTGTAACACAAGAATCTGGACCAGGAATCAGCAAACTTTCAGTGTAGGACAATACAAGCTTCTGTTACAGCTACTCAGCTATGCCCTTACAGTACAAAAGCAGTCCTAGATAATATGAAAACGAATGGGCCCTGGCTGTTGTGGCTCGGTGAATTGAGTGTTGGTCTGCGAACCAAAGGGTTTGATTCCCAGTCGGGGCACGTGCCTGGGTTACCGGCCAGGTCCTCCAGTTCGGGGTGTGTGAGAGGCAACCACACATTAATGTTTCTCTCATTCTCTTTTTCCCTCCCTTCCCATCTCTCTAAAAATAAATAAGTATTTTTTAAAAGGAAACGAACGGACTTATGTTCTAATAAAATTTTACTTATGAAACCATGCAGTAGGAATAAAGGTCTACATACCATAGTTTGCAGACCAGTAGGCTAGACTCCAGATAGTTTTTGTATAGTGTACTGTAGCTAAGAATGGTTCTTAAACTTTTAAAGGTTTGTATATATAAAAAATGTGTATACAACAAACACCGTAAGTAGCCCACAAAGCCTCAAACGTATATCAACCCTTTATACAGAAATTTGCCAACCTCTGGAGGCTGGAACCAGCAGTATGTTCTGTGAGCTGTGGGGAAGCTGAGAAAGGGAGCTTTTGAACCTTTGGGCCTTTAGTCTTGTTTCTGAAACAGAACCAAAATATGTATGCCTATCTTCCACAAAATCCATCAGCTTTAAAGAATACTATCTTCAGCTTTTTGTGCATTATCTCCTCACTGATTCTGATCCTAAGCAATTCACTCCTTCGTTTGAGTGCTCTTTGACCCTGCCAACTTCTATCATGACATACATCAATTGCACTTAGATCTCTCACTTGTCTTCTAGTCTCTTCCTCCACTAAATTAGCAGTCTTTTGAGAGCAGGAACTTGGTTTTAATTCAGTTTGTCTCCCATATAGTAAGCCAGTAGATATCTGGGTAAATGGATTTCATTAGGGTTAATTCCCACTGAAGCTGTAATAGTGTTCTCACAATCTGCATTGTAGTATTCTAGAACTCCTTTTAATTTTTTACTATACAAACAGTAAAATACTCTTGGAAGGGTCTGATATGCAACCGATTATGCTCTTAGTAAAGCATCTGAAATTTATGTAGTACTACTCAAACTTTTTACAAAATCGTCATGGTCCTTTAAATAGGAACAGAGGTATACTTTAAAGCGGTGGGGGGGTAATTGGATGCTCCATGCCTGGTCAGGAACTGTTGTGAATGTTTTACATACATTATGACATTCTTTTTTCTTTTTTGTTTTTAGTTGAATTTATTGGGGTGATGTTGGTTAATAAAAGTATATAGGCTTCAAGTATACAATTCTATAATAAATTATCTGTATATTGTATTGTGTGTTTACATGACATTAATTCTTATACACCTGAAAGGTGAAGGTTTAATTCATGAGGCTGACTAGCTTAGAGGTTATCAGTGATAACTCTAGAACTAGACTACCTGAGTGCATATCTAATCCCTGCTTTGGCTTCCCTGTCTGTAAAATGCAGATAATAACAACATCTACTTCACCAGCTTGGTGTGAGAATATAGCAGTTTTATTTATTAATTTTTTTTATTATTTTTTTTAAGATTTAGGGAGAGGGAGAAAGGGAGAAAAACAACGATGCATGAGAGAAACATCAACCATCAACTGGTCGCTTCTCACACACCCCCATACAGAGGTCCAGCCTGCAGCCCAGGCATGTGCCCCGACTGGGAATTGAACTGGCAGTCTTTTGGTTCACAATCTAGCACCCAGCCCACTGAGCCACAGCAGCCAGGGCTTTTTTTTTTTTTTTAGCCTCCCTGGAGGATGTTTTAAATTGATTTTAGAGAGAGAGGAAGGAGGGAAGAGAGAGAGAAAAACATTGATCTAAAAGAGAAACATCAAGCTTGGTTGTCTCTAGTATGCCCCCGACCAGGGATCAAACCTGTAGGTATGTGCTCTGACCTGAGAATCAAACCTGCAACCTATTTTTGGTATAAGGGACAGTGCTGCAACCAAGTGAGCCACCCAGCCAGGGCAGGATTAAGCCATTTAATGTCTACAAAAAGACTGTAAATAATGCCTGGCATAGGACAACTTTTGTCCTGGCCGGTAGCTCAGTAGGTCAGAGCAAAATCCCAATAGGCCAAGGTGGCAGCCTATCAGGTTCCATCCCCCGTCAGAGTACATACGTGAAGCAACCAGTGAACGCATGAATAAGTAGAACATCAAAATTGACATTTCTCTTCCTCTTTCTCTCTCCCCTTCCCACCTTCCTCTCTCTCTAGAAATCAATATTAAAGAAATGTTTATAAAGAGAAAAAGTCTGCCCTGACCAGCATGGCTCAGTTGGTTGGGTGTCATCCCACAAAGCAAAAGGTCACAGGTTTGATTCCCAGTCAGGCTGCTTGCTTGGGTTGCGAGATCTGTCCCCTGATGGGGTGTATACAAGAGGCAACCAATCGATGTCTGTCTGCCTGTCTCTCTCTCTCTCTCTCTCTCTCTCTCTCTCTCTCTCTCTCTCTCTCTCTCTCTCTCCCCCCCCCCACCTCCCTCACCCCCCCCCCTCTCCCTCCCTCTTTCCCTCTCTCCCCCTCCTTCCCCTCTCTCTAAAAATAAATGAAATCTTTTTAAAAAAATAAAGGTGAAGCCCTGGCTGGCATAACTCAGTGGATTGAGCATGGGCTGCGAACCAAAGTGTTGCAGGTTCGATTCCCAGTCAGAGTACATACCTGGGTTGCAGGCCATGACCCCCAGCAACCGCACGTTGATGTTTCTCTCTCTCTCTCCCTTCTCCCTCCTTTCCCTCTCTAAAAATAAATAAATAAAATCTTTTAAAAAATTAAAAATAAATAAAAAATAAAGGTGAAAGTTTTGCCAAATTATGAAGACTGTCTTTTGGGAAGTAGTGTGGCACATATGTACCAAGAGCCATGAAAATCTTCCTGTTCTTTAATCTGGAAATCGAGGCTTTACCAAAAAATCTAACATAAGGAAAATATGGTTAAAAAGTTTGTGGCATGAATGATTAAATAGGAAGAAAGAAAAACTAAATATCCGGGAAAACGGGAATGCTTCATTGCAGCAGACTCCCAGAATGAAATGTTACCCTGATGAGAAAGTCATCAGGAAGAAGACCAGCAATGTGGGAGAATGCCTGTGGTGTGGTATTAGGACCCCAAAAAACCCTGCAGCGGGCATATCTAGGGCTCGTTTTAAAGGAAAGCCATAAGCTGGGCTGGTGGGAGGGGAGAGGGGAAGGAGAATTGTAGCTTCATTAGGGCATGAACTATGGGATTTTTTTTTATCTTCTATTTTCCTTTTTTTGGTTGAATGCTATAATTTGACACTTTTTATAAAGCAAACTTTTTTTTTTAAATGTTTCGACATAGAGCGTGTTGTTATGAAATAACTTCTTAGATCATTGGTGGAGGAATAAAGCAAGAGAATGGCTGTGAGCTAATTGGAAACCATAGTCAGTGGAAGTACCCTGGCATACTCCCTCAGGGCTAGTCTAGAACCTGGCTCTGGTGAATGGTCCTGCAGGCAAAGTCATCTCCTAAAGATGGGCAGACTCTTTGTGTGAAGCCCAGGGTTTGTTACTCTGGCATACATTGTGTGCTTCAGAGCTTTAGAAAAGTTATGGGGGTGTGGGGCAGGTAATGGTAAAATAGTTTCTTCAAAACCTCAGCTTTGTTTGCAGCTTGTCAGAACATTTCTTAGGTTCTGAGAGAGACCGAGAGAGACTTCTGTTTCTTTTGCAGAAGGGGCATTATGGATGGGATGTTGCTGGAGAGCAGGGGTCTTTGCTTGTGTAATTGTGTCTGGGAGTGCAGTTACACATTGTGCAAGTCAAATACAAGTTGAATCTGTAAGCACAGCAGAGAGGTATGGTGGTGTCTGTAGACTAATTGCCTAGATGGAGCACTCTTGCCCTGTGAGTTTTATAGTGAAAACTTTTCGCATGCTTTCACTTGGATGTTCAAATGATGATTCCCATACAAGATGCAGTGTGAGGTTTTTTAAATTTGGAAAGCATATAAACCCTTTTCTGGTTTTTATATTGTGAAGGACACAGAGACAAAGGTCTTTGTCATCTTCTCTGTGGGTGTCCAGGAAAGTGTGCAGGATGCGTGCCATAGATTAGAACCACGAGGAAGAGTGCCTGGTGGTTGTGACAGGGTCCTTAAGGGAGACAACTACTGAACTTGAGATTTTTAAAATAGATTCACACCAGATATCTCTGTGTAAACAAAAGATTCCTGTAAAATAGAGGTATGGGGTGTGTGTGTGTGTGCGCACGCGCACACTTGGCATGTGATTTTAAAAGATATATTCAGGTTATTCTGTTATGATGCAAGTAATAGTAAAACACTGCGACAGAACCTTCCTAACTACTGAGAATTTAGAGAGAAAGATAATTTATGATAGATAATAGTTTATTTAAAAGTTTGACCAACACTGGTATAGGGTAAGATTTTTCTTTTAAAATAATTTTCTGTCTTTCTTAAGGTATCCAAGCCCACCAATGGGATCTGTATCAGCACCCAACCTGCCTACAGCAGAAGAAAATCTGGAATATGTACGGACTCTGTATGATTTTCCTGGGAATGATGCTGAAGACCTACCCTTTAAAAAAGGTGAGATCCTGGTGATAATAGAGAAGCCTGAAGAACAATGGTGGAGTGCCCGGAACAAGGACGGCCGGGTTGGCATGATTCCTGTCCCTTATGTTGAAAAGCTTGTGAGATCCTCACCACATGGAAAGCATGGAAATAGGAATTCCAACAGTTACGGGATCCCAGAACCTGCTCATGCGTATGCTCAACCTCAGACCACAACTCCTCTACCTGCGGTTTCCAGTACTCCTGGGGCAGCAATCAACCCTTTGCCATCCACACAGAATGGACCTGTCTTTGCAAAAGCCATCCAGAAAAGAGTACCCTGTGCATATGACAAGACTGCCTTGGCATTAGAGGTAAAATCTATGGCTGTTTTGGGGGATTAACATTCAGTTTTTATCTTTAGTTTTTTAACTTTGTTTCTGCAAAGTTATATTCACGGGAATAAGGGAACCAGATGATTTTGGAAGATCTGTGAATGTTTCTCATGATTCTTTTGTCCTTTCCTATTCCTTGTTTCTTCCAAGTTCCAATAAGGAAAGATGATGGTTAAGACCCATGACCTAGAAATGACATCAGTAGATAGACATACACACAGCCACTTTCACCTTTCCATATTTCTAATGTTGTGGTCTGTTGAGTTGAGGGGAAATATGAACAAATGTTTTAGGATTCTGTTCAGCCAGGCAGAGGAATAATTTTTAAAATGTTAAGAGATTTTTGTAAATTACAATAGAATGAAGTAAGAGCTTGAACTTTTTTTTGAGAGGGAGACAACAATTTGTTGTCCACTTATTTATGCATTCATAGGTTAATTCCTGTGTGCGGACCGAACCCACAACCTTGGTGTCTCAGGACTGCTCTAAACAACTGAAATACCTGGCCTGGGCCTAGAACTTGAACATTTTAATTGCCAAGTCATGTTCTTCTAACTAAAAAGAGTCTTGCAAAGCTTAGCATATTACTGTAGCTTGCGGAAGTACAAAAAAGTTCTTAAGACCAATGTTGATGAGCCTGTTGGGGGGGGGGTGGTAAAGCTTCAATACCACAGTTTCTACCAGAAGGTAGAAAGAAGTTTGATGAGACATCTGATTAAGCCCAGAGTGACCACATATGAGCACAGACCCAGTGGCAGTCCTGGGGAGAGAACGAACAGGAGACTCGGACAAATTAAGTCGATTTTAAAAACTCATATTTTTAGAATAGTCCTGTATATTTTTTTAGTGAGTTATAAAAGGCCTACAGTGAGGTAGGCCCCAAATAGTATTGTATCAGAACATGGAATTTGGTACCACAAATCTTACCTCTCATTTCTTGATAACTGAAAATGCTTTGTGAACCACAAACTGCAGTGTATCATTATAATATGATTACAGTTGAATACTTTTTCTTAATATTATCAAATTGCATATACATTAGAGAAACAGAGTTAACTTATGATTGTTCACTGTGTATTTACCTCAAGATCAAAGCAGGGCAGGGTGAGGAGACAGCCTAGGTTCACGGTAGAAGGATGAAGTAATGGAACCTGTTGCTTCAAAAAATCAAAATTTAACTTTCAAAACATTCTGCCCACAGTTAAAAATTAGCTGTAATTTGTTTTGTTTATATTTTTCCTTTGGTTATTCTCTGTATTCTCTGAGCCAGGAGTCACGTGTGAACTACACCTTAAGGTCTGTTTCAGAGTCCATGATTACTCCTCCCTTTCATGCTGTCTGTAAGGAAAAAATGAGGCTTCGGGCAGGGACTAGGGTCTGGATAGGACCCCAGGTGCTTTTATACTTCCCAGTGGAAGACTAGGAGGGAAAAAACAGAGGAAGCTGCCTCCATAGATCGAGTCTGGCTTGAGTAGACCTTCTGGTTTTCTCAGCCCCATACAGACCTGCCCCTGCACAGCACACACATCTGGACCAGGCTGCTCCTTACTTCTCAACACCCTAAAATAACTTGGTGTGTCCTGGGCTCTTCATACCTTCTAGTTTGTGTAGTGATTTCTGCCTTCTAAGTCATTTTCACATCTGTCATTGCATCATACCAGTTGGGAGCTAGGATTCAGAGAGTGGGTGTAATTTGCATATATTGGGCAGCTGATTTTTGGCACATCAAGGTGAGAACCTTGGGGGTTGTGACTCCCAATCGGGGTTGAGACCCTGAAGAAAGCCAGAAATTGGGTTCCTACCTGAGTTAGTGTTTAAAGCCTCACTCCATTTAGGACGCCTGCCTGTTGACCTCTGGCTTGAAGAGATGCAGTTTAGAAACCCATATCTCTGGTGCATTCTTGAAGTGTGCATAGGAGGTTATAGAGAGAAAGATTAGCGGGTACCATAGAGGGGATCACTTAATTTGGTGAGTAGATACATGGGTAGGTGCCTTTGACCAGAATGAAGAGAACGCCTTTCTGGTTAATGACGTATATTTTAAGGTAACCTATATTCTTGGCCATTACATAGCTCTCCTAGACTCTCAGATCATGACGCTAACCCAGCCTTCTAAACCTTGTCAAAGTCTGACTTTGGTGCTTCACAGAGAGAGTGTCAGTGGGACCCAAGAAATACACCTTTGCCAAATTCTCCTTAATGGTATTTCTCATTTTGTATGTTTAAATGAGACTTTCAGCTATAGCATAACTGAATATTTCTATGAATTGTGTTATCTTCTAAAAGTTAGTGGTCTAACCTATCTGATCTCGTTAAAAACAACTCTCTTGGGACAATTGCAATTAGGTTACCAGAATAAACGTATTAAAATTAAAATGAGAAAGATGAGACAAATAGGACAAAATGTGCCAGTAATTGAAACTTCATATTTCCCTTGATAGTATTACAAAGAATGATGATAGTTTAGGTGAACTTTATTTCTCAAATTATTTCACTTTTTTTCCTCATAAAACTTGATTTTCAAGAGAATGTTCATGCAGGTAAAGAGATGTTTTTAAACAGGTCTATGTTTAGCCATTTTCCTCTCTTGTTCACCTTTTTTCAAGAAGTGAGTTGATCCTTGGGGCTTGGTTTGAAAGGGAACAGTTGCTGCTCGTGTGAGGTGGATCATGCTGGGTGTCCCTACTCCTTGAAAACAGCTCTTGCTGTTTTTAATGCCCTTGATAATGACACAGGAATGGAAGGGCTCCTGGGAGACAGGTCACACCCTACCAGAGCATTCTCAGATTGAGGGAAGCAATATAGCCTTTTCCAAAAGTATATCATTGGCCAGAAGATAATGTTTGGAGCAAGGATGCTATTGTCATAAAATACTTGTAGCCAGAGTTGCATTCTGTGACACAGTGGGAAAGTGAGGTGGTTGGGAAAGATCATGGACCCTCATTCAAGTCCTGGCTTTTCCTGGTGTGATCTTGGACAGGTTACTTAAATTCTTCGAGCTTAAAAGGCTCTGCATGACTCTGCCTTGACCAGTGTGGGTCAGTTGGTTGGGCATAGTCCTGCAAAGCAGAGTCACCCATTCAATTCCCAGTCAGGATGCATACAAAAGACAACCGGTTAATGTTTCTCTCTCACATTAATGTTTCTCTCCCTCTCTTTTTCCCTTTCCCCTCTATCTAAAAATAAATGAATAAGTAAATAAGTTATTTAAAGGGGGGGGGCACCCTGGCTCTGAGACTTGATGTTAGTTTGTTTATTTGTCATCCATTCATGCAGCCAACCTGTGAGGGGTGCCTTGTAGCGTCCTAACACCAAGGAGCTTCCCACATTATGAAAGAATAGAGACAAACAAGCAGTGTGGTAAGTGTGCCTACATCACAGAGTAGAAGGGAGAGTTGGAGATGGGAATGGGAGTCTGGGAAGGCTTCTTGGAGTAAGTGACCCTTGAATTAAGTTACAAAGTTAGCTGGGTGATGCGGGAAGGCATTTCTAGCAGAGGGAAGAGCTTGGATAAATAAGACTAACACCACTGAGAAGCTGTGGGTTGTTGAGAATGCTGAGTATGTTGGGTAAAAGTGGCAAAAGACAAAGCAGGGGAAGTAGGCTGTTGCCATATCATCAAAAGGGCTAAGCTGAAGAGAACAAGAGTTTTCTTGTGTTGTCTTTATTGAGGTATGAAATAGCCAATTCCTTGCAATAGAGAAGGTTCCGAATTTTGCAGACAATATACCTTTTTTCATTGATTTTTAAAATAAATTAGAGCAAATGCTTGAGTCCCCCTATAATAATTTCATTCTCACACACTTATATTTCAGTATACTTGCCTGACTAGAAAAGAAAGGGAAGAAATTTCTTAGTATCTTCAGAATTGTACTTAACTCTGAGTATACAGGCCCATGAGTATGAAAATTTGTATCAAAGTATCTAAATGGAACCATTTTCTCTGTAGTGTGAGTTAAGAATACAGTTGGTGACTTAAGGTGTAGGGGTCTGTGGCAATCAAAAGTCAGTAGAACAGAAAAGAATAACCACTTCTTAGGCTACAGGTAAGGCCTAAAGTGATTCAGGATCAAACCAAGAAGAAAGGCAAAATCATTTAGCCTAACCATCTTCCTAGTGATTTTAGCTTTCTACGGTGTCTAAATCCATTGGCACTTCAGTTCCAACTCGGAAGTCTTCAAAAGCATTCGTTCCTTCAGTGAAGATTTGAGTGCTTCTTATGTGACCAGGCATTGTTACAGGAGTTGGAGTATAGCAATGAACAAAACAAAGGTTTCTGTCTTTGTGGAATTTCTGGGACAGTCTCATGAGGTGGTTCCTTCCGTGTTGGGTGACTCGGGTAGTTAAATTCTTTGCATCTATCTATCACAAACTGCTGTGAGTCCCTTTCCTGTATTTGCCTGGCCCGTGTTTGGACTTCAGTGTGTTGCCCTACAGTTGTCCCTCCAGGTTTTTTGTTCTTCTTTTCAGTCTTACACCATGTGTACACTTCTGAATCTTCTTTTTTTTTTTTTTTTTGAGAGAGAGAGAGATACCTCTCCATTTGTTGTTCCACTTATATATGTATTCATTTGTTGCTTCTTGTGTGTGCCCCAACCAGAAATCAATCCTGCAAAGTTGGTGTATCAAGACTACACTCTGACCAACTGAGCTACCAGTCCAGGGCCTGGATCTTTTAAAATCCTGATTGTGTCTTGTAGTATGTTGATCCACACCCCCACTCCCCCAGGTTCATGCTAACTACAGAGTTCATAAAAGCACAATCCAGATCTTTGTACCAAGTTCTCTCCTGCAGCTTCTCCTGATCTAATGTCTCATTTAAACAAACACAATGAGGTGGTGATCTGACATGACTTGTTTTGGGGCTCAGCCTTCCAAGCATCTCATTTCCCATTCTAGTCCTTGTGAACCATATTTTGCTTATTGATTCGGAATTTTGTCCAGGTTTGATTTGCAGCTCACCTTTTATGTTTTATAGA